TAGGGGGGTCCGAACCTAAAAAGGGAGGCAGGAGTTTTGCTCATTCTCCTGTTGTAACACTACCCTTTCTGCAGCTGGCTGATAGCTCTAAAGCAGGCAGCCCTAGCTTGCCACGAGCCTCTTCACACAGCGATGTTTAACCCTGATAATTCCCAACATCTCCTCTGTTTTCTTTAAGCAGAGATAGATTTGTTTAAAGAGCTTGATGTAGTAATTTATTCAACACTCTCTGTAAGTAAGTAGAGAAACAAAGTCTAAAAGGCAAAACTAACAGCGGGATTAAAAGAGTACTAATACACTAATTAATAATGTTTTTTACAACACAGTAATTTAAAAACAATACAGAAATAATTGTCTTAGCTTTACAAGGCTGTTATATTTTTATGGTAGCTATCTAAATTGTGAGTGATTACTAAGTAATAAACATGGCATGAAGGGGTGCAATATTAGTGATAGAAAGAATCTATCTGGCTTAGCATTCTGATTTTGAGATTTGAAGGTCACTGTTGTTAACAAAACTTTACTGCATCTTAGTAAAACAAGAAAAGCACATGTATGTTATGGCATAGGTAGTATCGTTGCTAATATTGGATAGAACTGTATTTTACTGTGCAGAATAATAGAGGTGCAAATGCTTTGTAGGATACTTCTTAGAAATAAAATGGCAAAATAGATATTAAAACTTTATTTAGTGAAAAAAGGTAACTTAGAGTTTGGTAAAGAGAAAAGGTCTCAAAAATGGTCTGAAATTCTACAAATTAAATGTTTTTTCAGGTTTTCTAATTAGCTAAGGAATTTTATGTTTTTTGCGGGATTAGATTCATCACTGGTCATYATAACACTATTTTTGTCTAGTGTCATGGGATCATTTTTATTTTCTTTAAAGCTGACTAAACTTACTATTGCTTTCTTTTAGAATGCTATTACTTAGTAATCTTCTTGATAATACAACAAAATAATCAACTAACTTTTTTTTTATTCTTATTATTTTATAGTGAACAAACAAGTAAAAGAAATAAGTAAGATAACAATAATAAATTCTAAAATAATAAGTGTAAAAAGGTTACATCAATAAATCTTCAAAACAGTAACTGTAAGTTGACTGAAGTCTGTATACTGTCATTTGGTCGGCAGTAAGGGACAGGGGCAGTCTTTTTGTGCTGTTTTTTTAGATGATTGACGGCTTTCGAAGCAGCTTTTGGGGACTGGCTAGGTCTTCATAACTGACTTCTTCTAGCAAGTTGAAATCTACCTGGAGCCTGTCAGGGTAGAAAAGCACAAATATTCTCTGCTCTAAACGATACTTTTAGTTGGTTTTTGCTAGATACTAGTCTCTGGGTCTCGACTAGATCTTAAAACATACAGCGGCTTGTAACTCAAGAAGCAGTCTTCAAATCAATGTGGAGTATATTCTTACAACTCTCTTTTATTCTAAAAAATACTTTTGTTATTTAAGTTAAATGTGTGCATTTCTTATTCAGGAAGTAGGTGCATTTAATAAATGAAGCTGAAAGAATTAGCAGTGTACTGCTGTAAGTGGCACACAGAACTGCAGCTTAATTTACATCTGCTGCAATAGTTAAATCACAGAGCTGTTGAGGAAATTAGGGGTAAAATACAACTCACTTTGAGGTCAAGCTCATTTATACATTATTAGCTGTGCAAGAGTATGAGAGGTTTGACTCTTTTTGTTTCACACACAATACTTACAAGAGTATTACTTTTATGTTAGTCATGTGGCAACAACCAAAGCTCTTTTAAAGAGACTTCAGAAGTAATTTAGGAAACTCAAGTATTGTTTTTACTGCAGATATACAGAAAACTGCACTTTTTTGTGCTTACAGTAGTAAAGGCAATTTACTAATACTGGATAAATGTTGGCATGAGGTTTTTTGCTTTTTCTCAGTATTCAGTATGGGCTGAAATACACAAGCCTTCATCCTTAAGGGATGCTGTACTGTGTTAACTCTGTATGGCATTGTGTTTTATAGACTCTTATATGTTGTTTTTTAACATTTTAGCTTTTTGTGCTATTTCACACTGGTATAGACTCGCACAAAGTTTGTTTTTTTCTGTGGCTAAGAAATCATTGCTAAACTGAATATTGTAATTTTTTAGTTTTTCACTGTTTTTCTGTGTATGATTTGCAGTTTTAAATATTCTGAAATACACAGAGTAACTTATCTATATTCTTATAACTCTTAGGAGTAAAGCTTATTTATGTTAAAAAAGCAGACAATTAATGTACTTGTATCTTAGAGCAGAAAGTACTCTTAGGAGAAAAACTACATCTCTTTTTTTCAAAGTGTAGCACTGCAACCTGAAAAGATGCAATAACTATTAAAATCTAAACATAAAATATAAATACAGAAGCAAAAGAATATTGTTAATAATACTAAAAGACAGAAACACACTATTGTTAAAAGAAGTTTCAAATAATATTC